GGATGTATTTTGATTGCCTTTCTTTTGCATTTTGTTTTTAATACTAAATGTAAGACCTGTAGTCCAATTAAAATAGTGGATAATTCAAACATGCAAACTTCAGTCGAATTTAATTTTGATTTGTATAATGACAAGATAATTTGATGGTATATGATAGTGTACAGTATATGATAGTGTACAGTGTATTTCAGTATATTCCCCACTTTAAATACAATACGAAACCTTGGTAAGACAGGTCTACGTAAATCAGGACACTGTACTAGAAATGTTATTACTGTATGTGCTAAAAGTGTTATAATAGAATAACTGTATTAGGGAGATGCAGCAACAGGACATTTTCTATATAAAATGAATAATGGTTAAAAATGAAATAAATCTTTGTACGAAGTCAGTGTTTTGACAACATTGATTTTATCCTTGGGCGGCAGTGCAGTGCCGTCCTGGCGTCATGCTAATCACCTCCTTATCAGCACTTCCAACTGAGGTCATCCGTCTGAGGGAGCCAGTTAAGCAATCAAGAGCTTCAGAAAAAAGCATTTGAATGGTTCTTTTGAGTCTGCGTCCACCTCTGTCTACTGTCTGAAGGTCTTGCTTTAATGTTGGAGATGTTTTCACAGAGAGAAGAGGGCCATAGGTCAGAGCGCTGCTTAAGTATTATAGAGAAAGTAGCTTCGTGACTTTGACTTCTTAGTTTCAAATAGAAAAGTCCAGAAAGGCAGTTGTAAAGAATTACACTTTGAAAAAAGAAAACAATATTTAAAGAACTTACTCTATGACTTAGTTTCAAGGAGGTCACCCTACTGTTCAAAGATATATGAGCATTTTTAAACCCCACAGATACTAAATGTAACTTGAGTAATGCAAAATTCAGTTTAATAATATTTCGTAAAATCCTTTACAAATTAATTCAGATGTAGTCAATCTGCTTGGAATGGTAAATATTATCCAGCTTTAACTTTACATTAAAGCTGGAGTGCCTAACTTGCTTTATTTGTTTCATGAATACAATTTGTGAACAAAACTGACCACAACATTTTGCCTTTATCTGCTTTGCAATCATTTTATTTTTCACATACTGAGAGTTGAGTGAGGGCTGGTACTCTCTTTTTAACTGAAAACACTGATCTAAAGATGGAGTACATGCATGTGAAAACAATTGATTGAACCAAACTGGGAACGACTAGATTAATTTTCTTAGATATTTAATTTGTCCTGATTTCACAGTTTCAAAACTTTCATTGAGCAACAGGTCTATATTGTTGCTAGCTCTCAACATCTGACCTGTCCTGTCCACACATCGGAAAATTCTAGTCCAAGCAAAAAAACAAACATATGATGATCACTCCCCCAGAATACATCCATATATTGCATCTGGACGGTTCTATTTCCATAATTATTCATAAAGGCATGATATAATTTGGCATGATAAGCATGATAATGATCTCAGGTCCCAGATATTACTTCTGTCATAGTTGTGCATGATTGGTCGGTGACTTGTGGTACAGTATGTGTGTCGTGATTAGCCCTGTCTGTGTCTGCCTGTCTGACTGGTTTGATTTGTCCAACAGGGCTGCTGTGTGTCAGGCATGCCTCAGCGTCCGCACTGGAGAACATGAGTGAAGGAGCGGATAATTGATAGTGACAAGGCGCTCCCAAGCCTTAATTGCTGCTGGTGAATTAGATTACCTTTTCAAAGTGCCTTCATTAGCAGAGGGAGAGCCATACCAATGGTCTCCCTGATTGGCCTCATATTGTTCTGTGGTGAACCTGCGCAGGCAGGGCGCAGGGAGTGTTCGGACCTCTCTGAATGTTTTGGTTGTGTGTTGATTAGTGTGGTTCTCACAGTGTGTGTCTTTGCTGTTGCCTGAAATGAAGTCAAGATTTTTTAATGAGTATATTGACCTAAGTGACATCCATCTTTCAATCAAATTCCTCTACCAGGATGCACATTATCAACATCAAATTTTTAAGGGAATTTGTGGACACACAGCACTTACTATATAGTATTATGTACTGTTGATTAATACTAATGCATATCCATACAGCAGCAAAGAAATGTGTCACCTCCCTATACAGGGAGGATTCAGATATTTTTCATTTAACAGCATCAGTATTAGAATTCACTTGTGTCAATATAGTCAAGCTATATCTCTTCTGAAAGCTTATTCCCACCTCTAAACGCATATTATGTTCAAATAAACATTAAATATCACCAAAAGTAAGAATAAGTAGTCCAACTGTAAATATATAAAAAATATATATTGTCCTTTCTTACCTTTTCATGCTAATATTCTGGGGCAAATCATGTCTAATCCACCCATGTGTGCATTCTTTTTGTCGTGAGGGTCCAGAGAGTAATTTTTTCCAGTTGTTTTTTCTTCAAAGTCATCCTTATAATAGATATTCACTTGTAACAACACAGTTAAGTATTGAAAGTTGCACAAACAAAAATAAAACGCCTTGTTTGCGCACTGTATGAAGAGGCAATTTTACTCTTTCTCTAGCGTCACTGGGTATGTTCGTCTTCCTCTCAGTCTTCCCTTCAAAACAAGCCCATTCCCGCACTTTTCAGTTCTATGGTTTGGGAGGTAGATCCAGTTGAAAACAAGCACACCAAACTTCAGCGCTCCAGTCATTTACATATCTGTGCGTCACAACAGCATTGTCTTGACTTGCATTTGCCGATTTGGATTTCAATCAAATAATCTTGTAGCCAATAATCTCAGGTTTCAGGGGATGTGTCGGACTTTAAGGTTCCTCCCACTGTTTGAGTGTTATCTGAATGCGTAAAGAAAAGACAGAGCATTTTCACGAGGAACATGTGCAGCAGTAATTGCATCACGCACAAACTTTGGAGCACTTTTTTCACTTTTACAATTCCTAAAGTAGTGGAAAAACAAGTAGAATGACGTATAGTTATGTTTCATTTCATTCACATATTATATATATATGTCTATAAATTATCCATATATTATCTATACAAATAATAGCGTTTTAACATGTGCATGTAAAACGCTTTGGCACATTTGGCACAAAAATGGACCACTTGTGCCGAATGTGCCTATTAGTTACAAAAAATCCCCCAGCATCAAAATGGTTCCAACACCACAAACATCTGCTCTGGTGAGTTTGAACAACATACAGTACCATAAAGTATGTCTTCCGGAGAACCTTTTGAAATTGCCTTTTTTTTTTTTGAGACAGAAAAACTAACTTTGACTCATGTTTGAGAAGGTGTAGTGCAGACTGTGTCCTCCTAACAAACTTTAAAATATATTTCCAGAAACTAAAAGGTGTTACCTTTCAAGTGAGGCATCATAACACAACATCAGACACAAGATGTCCACACAATAAGCATTTCCATTTGGGTATCATAATTCGAGAAGAAACAGGTGAAAATAGGTGATCCTGAAAAGGTTAAGCTGCGATTTAAAGCTCTCTACAAAGGGGGCAGCTCTGACACAATAAGGGAGAGCGTTCCAGAGTTTGGGCCCTGCCACAGCAAAGGCTTGGTCTCCTCTGGTCTTTCGTCCGGAACTGGGACAGTCGGAGTACCTCAGTGCTTCCTGGAGTGTGTAAAGTGAGCAAATCAGTGAGATGTGATGGAACCATGGAACGTTTTAAACTTAATTCTAAAAGTGACTGTAAGCCAACGTAAAGACGACAGCGCAGCAGTGATGTGCTCGTGTCGTCTGGTGCCGGTCAGCTTCTGACCTGCTGCATTCTGTACTAGCTGCAGTCTGTGAACTGAGGACTGGTCAAGGCCATAGTACAGGGAGTTACAATAGTTCAGCCGTGTGGTTATTAGGGCGTGGACAACCTTCTCAAGGTCATTTGGGGGAAGATAGCACTTAACCTTGGTCAAAAGTCTCAGCTGGAAGAAGCTGGCTTTGACAACAGCACTTAGTTGTTTGTCCATTTTAAAGGAACAACAAAATACACACCAAGATTTTATAATGTTTTCTGAGCTCCAACTTTTATCTGTTTTGTATCATATTTCAGAATAAATGCCTAAAGGGTTAACTATTCAACACTTGACCTCTTCTTCAATATCGACCCTCAATATTCCACAAGTCATTGGCATCGAAAGACATCTAAATATCTACCGGTAATATCATGCATTAGTTAAGTAATTTATCATATTGTAAATGAACCAGTTGAGTGGGTCCAAATTACCACAAACCTGCTGTGTTACTTTATGATGCCAATGATGCATATATTGTAGAAGCCTCTCCGCATAGACTGAAGAGTGTGCCCCCCCCCCACATGGATGTTGAAGCTTTTTGCATTTAAAATATGATATGTATATACGTGTATTTGTTATATATATATATATATATATATATATATATATATATATATGTGTGTATATGTGTTTATATATATATGTGTGTGTGTGTGTGTATATATATATATATATATATATATATGTGTGTATATGTGTTTATATATATGTGTGTGTGTGTATATATATGTATATATATATATCAGGAGGATATATGTGTGTGTGTGTGTGTGTATATATATATATATATATATATATATATATATATATATATATAAAAAATGTCCACTCACCTTTGGCCCTCCGCGGGCGGTTATCCCTCTCTAAGCTCAGGTTCTCTACCAGAGGCCTGGGAGCTTGAGGGTTCTGCACAGTATCATTGCTGTTCCGAGCACTGCACATTTCTGGACCGAGATGTCCGAGGTTGTTCCAGGGATCCGTTGTAACCACTCTTCTAGCTTCGGGGTCACTGCCCCGAGTGCACCGATCACCACGGTCACTACTGTCACCTTTACCCTCCAGGCCCTCTCCAGCTCATATATATATATATACATATATATATATATATATATATAAGCTCATTATGGAGTCTCAAAAACGCAATTCTAACAGACCCTAAGAGATCTCTTTGCAGACAATAAACAACCTCCAAAACACACTATGGGTCCACTTGTGCCCTACAGCAGCATTCTTTTTTATATCACTCCTTCCTTTTTCATTTCCATATTTGTCCCCAGTCTGGGTCTATCCCCTCCGCCTTCTTCTTCTCCTCCAAAAAAAAACACATCCTTTCCTCTTGCTTCATCCCATATCCGAGCCTGCCACAACCCCCTGCAGAGTTAAATGGAGTGTGCCTTCGTCTGGGGAGTCGTGTGCGCTTGGCTCGGCTCAGCTCTAAACTTACTGTGTGATTATTGTCAGAGCGAGACTTCTCCTCCAGGAGGTCTGACGCTGATGGGACCGTGTCGCAGAGTGCAGCCTGCCCCAGAGCCAGGGCCGCATGACCAAAATCTGCAAGAGAAGTACCGGGTAGAATTAGTGCTGCCCAATATGAGAAAGAGTAAACTCAGAACATATTTGTCTACATATCTACATTTGCTATATCATTGCATATATATTATATTTTTATTAATAATAAGCTTGGCACTGCCACAACATTCAATCGTTCAGGAGTCTATAACTAGAAATATAGCAGGTCTGTTAGTACATCAATAAATCCATTGCTTTAAATACAAAAGAAATCCTCAGAAGCTGCCCCTCAGTCTGTTCCAAAATACAGGTTTGCATTACCCCCTCACTGACCATTGAGCCACTGATTATGAATGCTGCAAATTGAACATGGATTTAACATTAAACTTCACAGAGTGTACAAGACCGATTTGAATGGTAGAATAGAGGATGCAGAAAAACAAAAAGACCAAAATTAGAGTAAGAATTTTCAAGCAAGTGATGTGCTCTGTGATTGTTTTTCTCCCCTCTCTCTCTGCCTTGCTCTAAACGGTCGGGATGTGGCCTGTATCTGCCAGCAAGAAGGAACTCAATTTGGGACAATTTACTCGGCAGTCTCAGCCCTGATGCACCTCAGGGACAGAGAATAGAGAGAATGAAAGTGAAGGGAGATAGAATCAGTGCGGCGCACACACAAATGGACACACAAACCCACCAGCACCGCTGCTGCGCGGTGCATCTAACACACAATTGCCGCCGAGTAGATTTCACTTAGTTAGTTCTAACTCTCCCAGGCGGTCAATACGATTGAGTTTATAAGGCTTGGAAATGAAAAGCCCAGGATAAGGTTAGATAAAGTGTGTGCTATTTGATTTTGGTCTAGATCGTAGAAAAACCAGCAGAAGGTGAATGGCTGTAGGGAATTCTGTGAAATCACGTTGTGTAAGGGGTCATGTAGGTGATTAAGGTTGAACATGGGAGTGATTCCACCCACTTTATATTCAGACAACTGGACAAAAATATCTCTTTATAAACTCTTGAATTGTATTTCGCATTATGACCTATGTGTTGTTTACATCATCAAGGTTGGTAGTCCGGGTTTAGAGTACCCAATACATGACAGCAGGGGGCATCCTCACAGAGACAGTCTCAGAAAAAAACAGCAGGGGTAAGTGCACTAATAACAAATTAGCTCTGCGCTTTAGTTCACATCCAGAGAGAGGGGAGATTGTGGGTGTGTGAACTGAGTCAAGCTGCAGGCTCCCCAAAGATGCCACCTCATTTTGGCCTTTATCAGTATGTTTGTGTAACTCTGCGGGAAATGGATTTGTAAGTACAGCAAATCAGACAGTTCAGCTCCTTAGACGTGACTGTGTGATACATCTAACACGGCCATGTCAAAGCGAATCATACTCCTCCATTGGTTCTGATTTTACACAGCATGTATATGCAAATTGGGATTCATTTGGCTGGTGTTGCTGTTTTAATCAGGCCTAGTGCTGATTAGCGACAAGTAAAAATGGGGAAGAGAGCCGTGTGGTAATGGCATAAAGTTGTTTACCTTGTCTGTTCCACCTGATGTCACTGAATGCACCCTCTCTCATCACCTCTAAAGACTCCTGGAGCATTGGACTGCACAGTGTGGCCTCAAGGCTGGACTCGTGTTGTCATGGAAACTGTCATCCTCAGTGACACCCATGACAAGGGAGGGTATATTCTAGGGAGGTAGGGTCAGAACTATACCCCTGTCCTCTCTCTGGGACGTACCCTTAGACATACTCATACAAACGCAGTAGAGTTTGGTACAGAATAGGAAATAGTCACTGTCAGAATCTAACTAGTGATCACTACACCAGAGACATGTTCACTGGCAAAAAGGATTTAGATTGTGTTTGTTGTAAGTGTAAAAACTAAATACTGTTTTTTTTTCATCTATATTTACCAGAGCGAATGTAATTTCTTGCCATCTCTGCCCAGTATGCAAGTGAGGGAAAGTGGAAGATTTGAAAGTTTGTGATTAAGAGTTATCATCTGAATCAGTGTGCGTGTGATTAATTGAAGTAATTTATGAGCAATCTCTAGTGATTTCATGTATGCTCCATGATTTCATTAAAGTGTTACTTTAATTGCTTTTCTCCCTCTGTAACTTTATAGGAAAATAAATTTGCCAAACCAAAATGGCTCACATTTTGTATGTGTTAAATTTAATGGATTGAGTGAATAATGTTTTGGGATAATGAAGAGTTGCATTCAGGCGTGGCCCCCTTACTAGTCTCTCTCTCTCTCTCTCTCTCTCTCTCTCTCTCTGTTTTGGAATAGACCATTTAGAATAATAGAATAGCTTGAACTTAATTTGGTACTGATAAAAGCCGTTTGGTTTACGGAAAGTATATTTACTGTGGGTTATGTATTGCCAAACACAATTACAAAGTGTCGACTCCACACAAGCTGGCCCGCTGCCAACGCTGTGACCAGGCCTGTGACCAGGCTTGTGTTATAGAAACCTGCTCACCCCCCTCTGCTTTTCATGCAGGTGGGTTACAGTCCAGGGCTCATTAATTGAAGCAACATGCAAGCTTTACTTAGCTGGGAGCTTTTTGTTTACGCATACATATTCAATCTGCCGCGCTGCTCTCTATCAAATGCACATTTTCGATTGGACATAGCCGGAACTAGGGGTGCAACGGTTTGAAAAAATCACGGTTCGGTTCGTACCTCGGTTCAGAGGCCACGGTTCGGTTCATTTTTCGGTTCATTTTTCTAAAAAAAAGTTTTGTCTTTTTAATAAACACAGCTCATGTGGACTCGGCACCTGCTCTGACTGCCCCCACCTGACCTAGAAATGAATTAAGGGGAAGGAAATGGATGGATGGATGGAAGGCATATTCCATCCATCCAATTATGTCTATTTAACATAATTAATTAAAAACAACACAAAGTGCAACATAAGAAGGCACTTCTTACCCTCATATATTACACCACCTTCCTGATTCTCCCAAGGAGGGGGTCCATTCTGGGCCCAGTCCAGCCTCATTCACTGCATTTATTTAATTTTTGGCATTATCAGTTGTGACTGGGATATTAGTACTGGGCCTTTGTCTTCCATTCCTCCGCTGCTTGTGTCAGTACCTGCGCTGTGTGACTGTGTGACTGTCGTAGAGGGGGCGTGTCTGCAGCGCCAGACTTCTCATCTCCCAGTCTGCGGTGATGAACTGAGCGGTTCCGCTCATGGATCTATTATAGTTTCTGCGGTACGTCCAAGCGTCAGTCGTGAGCGCAGCTGAGGATGCGCGGGAGAGTTGACTTTAGCCCGGTCTGACTGCGTAATGGAGCTGCTTAAATGCCGCGGCAATAAGTGGTCGTTGAGACGCTTTTTTCACTCATGTCTTTCTTGTGCCACAGTGCTTACACATCGTGACAGTTTTGTCGAATATTAATTATCAGTGTAGTTACAGTGAAGCCAAAATGCTCTCATACTGGGGATTTAAGACGCAGGGCTTTCAAGCATCTCCGTTCCTCCGCTCGCAATGACCACGCTGTGTGTGGACTGAACAACGTGCGCACAACTTTTTTTTTCATAAATCAAACCGCGGATCACGTCTGTACCGAACCGAAGACGTTGAACCGAACGGATCACGGATCAGTGATGAACCGTTGCACCTCTAGCCGGAACCACAGACCTCATAGGCTTTATTATTTATTAATTTATCTGGAATGGTCTGAAAATTGTGCATATGCAGACATACTGTAACATAGCACTTCAGTTACCTTCTAAACCAAATAAAAATATGCTTTGGGCTCAGCAAATATAGTAGAAAAGATGTGGGGAAATTAAGTTACAAAGAAATGCAAAGCTACTAAAACACATCTGGGAATTTGGTCATGCTTCTCACTCGATCATCTTTAAGGACCATGGGCAGTTCCTTTTGTTATATTTTTATTTGTAGTCTATCAAATATGTTTATGGATGTTTAGAGGTAAACAATAAATAGTAAAAATTGTGATTTATTAAAATATATGAAAAATGAGAAGGTATGGCTGAGTATAGCTAAAGGTTTTGGGTTCTCTGGTAATTGAAAAGTATTTCAAATTACGTTTGGATTTTATTTAGTTATGAAGCCTGAAAGATCAGGTTTTGACTAATTGAATGAGTAGGATATGTTGAAAGCTGCTATAGTTAGACCTCCTTGGAAAGACTAAGGTGAAGAACATGTATTTGTTGTTTATGAGTAGAACTCTTGAATAATCCAAGACATACTTAGATGCTTAGATGATACTAAGCAATAATGCGACAGCAACAATGTATAAAACATAAATTATAAACCTTTCTATTTTACAAACCTGTATTTGTAACAAACACATCACGCTCCAGCAAGTAAGGAATATCCTTAACAAATATTTGGATTATAATGCAAAGCTTAAAATCATTTTTCATTTGACTTGATTTGGCACTAACATATGTAAAATGTGATATATTTGTGATTAATTCTGCATACATCACATTGGACATGGAGGGTGTGCTATTGCCAGTGGCCATGAATGAGTGCTGCAGCAGCTGCTATAGCTCATATAAAATGCTGGCTTGATTACAGCAGTCCACGGGAGAGCTGCTCTGAGCCTGTTCTATAAGCCTATCATTTACACTGAGAGAATGTAAGTCTTGGTGGTCTCTCAGTGGAGGCTTTGGCACCATGTAATCCAGCCCATGCAGCTCTCTGTCAGCCCAGCCACAATCAGCTGCTGTAGTATTAATCACACCACTAATGACATAATTAACCAGGCTGCGCTAAAACAGAAACATAAAGAAAGGAAAGCTCTAAGGCAAACACGTAATGGATAGATCATAACAGAAACACATGTGATTAAACACACAAATAATAGGGATTCATAAGGGGCGCAATATTGGAATAACAGTGGTGAACAATATCCTTTTGATGGTGAAATGCAGAGCTGTGTACATTTTGTATGACTTATCTGTATTGCGAAAATGACACTTGGAATCGGGCCTCATTTCAAAATGTGTCAGTTAAATGTGACTTTTAGGGATGTAACTTACCACCAACATTAATTTTTGTTTTACTTCCACACCATTTGAATACAGGTTAAATATTGTTGGCGATAAAAAATCTAATTAGAGTTTGTATATTTGTAGTTAGATAGTTAAATTATGCATTACGGAGGAGTAAGTCTGGGTAGAATAAAGCACATGTATTTATTTAATTTCATTTTATTTCATTTATTTCAAACCTGCAGGTGTATACAAACAGGAAAAACAAAATACAAGGTCTGCTTGGTTTGAAAGGGGGCTTCATTTATAGTGAAGCCCTAAGATTGAAAATGATTAAAACCGTGATCGTGTGACTACTCGGCTTGGATATACTTCTACAACTGCTTGATATGTTATACAACTGTGGAACCACGCAGAAGAGGGGTCTGCGCGTGTTCACACTTCTGTCCTAGTGACGAATACGCAACGCAATATCCCCTCAATCAAGACACCCCTAGTGCTCTTCAGACTCAGCACAGTGTCCTATACTTCTACATTTCCCTTAAACACGGGAAGCAGCCTTTAATGGACTCTGAGGGGAGCGATGAAGGAAAAAGATTTAGATTCATTTTATTTGTCATTTGCAGTCAAACCACAGTGGAATACATGTGTTAAAGTCCCCACTGTGCACCAGTCAAGTACATATATAAGAAGATATAATCTACATAAATAAAACAAGCTAAAAAAAAAGTACAATACAAATGCAACAACATTAAAGGGCTTTGTTTTAACTGATAAGAGCTTGTGGAAAGAAGGTGTTACCAAAACGAGATGTCCTGCATCTCAACGAACAATATGTTCTGCATGAAGGTAGAAACTGGAACATGCTAAAACACACAGATGTGATGAAGAGAGAGATAAAGGTGTTCTCTCAAAACACTGGGGCAGTCTGCACTCACACACATTGTAATTTTGGTAAATTATGATTATGTTAACCAATTATCTGGGGAGACATACATTATTTGTGTTGTGAGTTAATATTACAATAGATGGGGCAGAGTGTCTGTGTGCCAGATTTAGCAAAGGGCTCTATGTTTCTGTGTGCAGCACTTTACAGTATAGTTTAAACCAGGCTCAATGTCTTTTTAATGCCTTGCTGTTTCCTCTGGTCTCCTGCTGTTTCACTGTTGTTTACTCCAGTCACCACTTGTAATTGCTGCCTTCTTCTAACTGTCCTATGCTCTCTCACACATCCACTTCTCTGAATGAACTCTACACTGACCTTTTACCGAATGTCTCAGCTGCTAACCCCCTGCCAGCCCCTCGACATACACAAACGTCCCCTCTCCTGCCTTGGGCAAATAGCACACTATTGTTCAAAGTATATGCCGTTCCTTTTCTTTTGGTTAAACTCCTCTATGTTAATCATTTTATAACTTTTTTTGAGAAATATTTTGCTCAATAGTGTGTCAGCAAGAGTGGGAAACTGTGATACCACCAAAATGTATGTAAATGTGAAAAGATATGGGAGCATTTACAGTGTTTTGAGAGAAGACCTTGTACTCTTTGTAGTGATTGTCTCTATCTCACCTTGTCACAGTGATAACAATTGCTTATGTTTACAGCAGAAGCTGCTGTTGGGGTCATATTAACAAACCAGGTGGTGCCTGTAAAGCTTTACTAAGCTAGTTTTACTTGCTTAGTGCCATCATGATCCTACAGATGCTCTTTTCTCTCTTTTCTCTCTTTTCTCCATATCTGTGAATATCTCTGCACCACCCACTCTCTGAATCCACATGGGATCGGGAAAAAACATTAGAATTTCCCTTAATGCTTCCTCACCACTGAGACGTTTGTGTGCTTTTTTCTAACAGTATTTTTTAAAAACTCCAGTCACATCCGCAATCCCGCGGCCCTATAAGGAGCTTTCACGCTTTTTGGTTTGCTTTAGATGTTTAATACCCCCTCTCTTTTGTGTCAGGGAGCCGGAGAGGCGTTAAGAAGCGCTGATAAACCCCACTTAGATCCCTTCCTGGCCCGTCACCCTGGCCTGCCGGGCCGCTTTAGCTGGGAACTGATCTGTGACGGCCTGCCACTCAAACTGAGCACTTGTGAAGGCTGACACAATGGAGTGAGCAGCACACAGAGGCCTGGGGCTGGGCAGGAGGGGCGGGGGGCAGTGGAGAGCAGAAAGACAGGTGCCCTGAGCGAAGGAAAGAGGAGGGGCCACTGTGCATCTCTCTTTATCTCCATTTTAGATTTTTTCGCAATTCTCAATCCCCTGTAACACTCACCAGTCTGTCGTTATTTATATAGTCTAAGATTCTACTGTTCCTATAACTGTCCATCTATTTTATATTTTCAATCTGCCGGTAGGGCCATCTGGCAGTAGCTGTGTGCTCTGGATCAGATAGGGGACAGGGTCCGGGTGGCGGGGTCCTTCATGCGGCTCCACAATAGGACCATCCAGGACTAAGGCGACAGAGCGTCATAGAGACCGCTGCTGTGATTGACAGTCAAAGGCTGGATGTGTGCAGGAGGAGGGGGTTACTGGAGAGGGCACATGACCAGAGCCGCTGCCATCACTTTCCCAGGAGGCCGTGGGTGGGTAGCGAAGCTCAAAATGTCAGCGCTGATATCTGAGCAGCTTGCCTCGTATCAGACTGCTGCAGCTGCCTGCCATCCAGCCCATCCACTCATTCATATAGAGACATGGAGCATTGTGTGCACACAGGAGCAGGGGGCTACGCACCAACGCACCCAAGACCCACACTTTTCTGTCTTTGATTTTTCACCTGCACAATGTTCACTTCTGGACTGTAAAGCTTAAATATACATAACCAAACCTTTCTACCTTTGTATTTTGACCCTGTTTTATGTTAACAATACCCCATTGGTTGAAACAAATGTGCAATTGTAATGCCATACGTTTTCTTTAGAATTACATTTACTTTGACTAAATGTGTTTTCTCTAAATTTAGACTTTCTTTAAAGTGGTTTATGACTCCTTCTAATGGTACACAAATGGTAAAACTTGTGAATGGATATATACAAATGAATAATGAATAATAATGGTTTATGTTTTGCTCACTCAGACACATGATGTTGCTGTGTCTATTCATATGCAATATAAGGTTTCCACCAGATATGTGAAGAGGTCACAATGCTGTGAAGCCAAATGATGAATAAATAGTGTAATGGTTTTAGAAAAGGTTTTAGTTTTTTAACAACTTATGTTATTTTATGTATATAAATCTGATAGATCTTGATTTTTAACTTTCAACTAAATTATACTTAGTTTAGACCTTTCTTTTCAACTAAACTAATATTATTTGACCTGAAACAGGTTTTGTTTTGCTGCTGCTCTATCTGCCTTGCTATCTATGCATGTGCAGATGTGTGCTGGAGCCTCTTGCCTGTCAGCTCAGGATGATGAATGCGCTGACAGAGGAGGGGTCAGTGTCACAGACAGTACGGTCAATTGCCCCTTGTCCCCTGAGCCTAACCTTGAGCAACACTCTCTAAAGAGTCCCAATGCCATTATTGGACACGCGCACACACGCTCACACGCTCCCCTGTGAGCGCTGCCATTAGTGGCTGGCAGGCCTGGCTTTGACAGAGAGCGATTAGCTCCCTATCATGTGTATTGATCACTGTGTTGGCTCCTGCTCCAGAGGAGGGGCTGCAGGCACTTTTACAAGGTACTTGAGGTTTATACACAATGGGACAGTGAAGCTGTTAAGATAAAGGCCACAATGTCATACAAACTCTTTAGGAACCTATTTTCATAAGGTGTGGGAGTTCCCCTGAGTTTCTAACTTTTGGGAGGTGATGAACAATAGTTTGTTGCTTCTTTTCTCTTGTAAAATTCCCTTTGGTACTCAAATATCTCCCTGCTTTATCTGCATAAAATATAATGCTGGCCTGGCTGTTGCCAATTAATTCGTTTCTACCTGATAGAAATCAGGCTACCAATGGTTTCCGTCATTTATTGATATTGTCAATTTAGAGTATGTTTGTGAGAGCTCTGTAGAAACGCTCCCACAAATAAACAACTAGCTAACTTGTTGGATTTGAATTACACACAACAACTTTAGCTTTCCAATTTATCCCACTGCAATTAACCAATTGCTGATGACAATACAAGGTGATGTAGTTCTCTCCACATGATACTGCAAACAAAACTAAGCACCATGCAGCACTACAATCATCTCGCAAAGGTCTCCACTCTCATCTTGTCCATCTCCTCTGATTTAAGTGTGAGTGGACAATACAGGCACATGATTGTGAGTTTGTCTGATGTGTTGTTTGATTTGGCTGGCCCACCTTTACAAGGATCAGACTCTTATCAGATCAATGCGGCCCATGAAAGAAGAGGTGTATGTGTTTGTGCGCATGTCCGTGTGTGTGTGTGTCCTCTGTGTTAGTAGTTGAGGTTTTTGATGCTAATCTTGGACAACATGAATAGGAAATCTACAGGTTATTTTTGTTTTAATGCTGTTATACATTGGCCAGAAAGTAGAAAGAACAGAGCGTGCCCTGAGCACGGTCAAAGTGGACAGTATTAAATAAGGTGTGAGAGTTTCTGATAAACAATATGACACTCGGAAGTTCAATTTAATTCAATGTATTTTTTTATAGCTCTAACTCACAACAATAGTTGTCTTTGAGGACCGTTGAAATCGCCAACACATATCAGAGAATCAAACAGTTCAAACACATCTACATTATTTCTAACCCTATCAATACTTGATCATGAATCACATCATGATCCAAATATTCTCAATGGTAAACACCCACATTAATTCAAGGTACTGTAGGTCACAGCTCAATGGTTGCTATAAAAGTAAATCTTGGTTTGGTAAAGTGTGGGCACCCCTGTTCATATATACATACTGTACATACATGTATATGTGTGCGCTGCAACACTGACATTTCGCCACTGTAGGGCAGATATCCTACATACACTCTCTATCTAAACTTACTATAATGATGATTAACAAATGAACAAATGGCACCGCTTGTGATTTATTATAGCTTCACATCATGTTTATGTTTTATGAAAAGGATCTGAGAGCATTAGTTTACATCCGGATGCTAATTTTAAAATGCCTGTTGAACACATACTAGACACGGACCTCATTAGGCAATATTAGCCTAATGTGACAGTAATTACTTGGTTCAGAGCAAGTATCGAACCACAGAGCCATGTGTATGTTCAGGATGAATACGCATACCATTACACCGCTGTGGAAAGCTTTACTACACTCTCAGCCAACAGCTTTCTATTAGCACTTGGTGTGATTCTAGCACCATAAATATCTATAAAACAAAGTGATTCATAGTAATGCATGTAACAGGAGAGAAGGGAAATGGCAGCGATACGGCGCATCATTTCCGAGGTGAAAAATGTGTAAGGAGCAGGAGTAACATGTAATATACCCCCGAGAAAAGGTGGAGGCCTTGATAAACTGATAGCACAGTGGCAGACTGTGTGCCAAGCACCGCCACAGTAATGAGATGCTAATAAAATGCTAATCTTCTGCCAGCATTCACACTCACAGCTGAGCAGGGGAGAGTGAGCTCATGCTATTGGCTAAAGATTGGTGACTTCCTGATGTTAAAGTTCACAATTAGACAGATTAAGACATTTCACTTGATCATTTTGGAGATAAAAAAGTGATTAAAGATGCTATGGTAAAACTCAATATGATATCATGATTTAATCTCATTTGACTTTTTACCCCTTGTTTACATTATACAGTAGTTGGCCAATGACAAAAAGTTGTCATGGATCTATTGATACATTAATGCTAGCTTCAGTCAGTGAGTTGGTCTTGTATTTCGTACACCAGAAAACAAAATATCTAACTCATAAAGCTCTTTTTCCATTAAGCCATAAAGCTCTTTTTCCATTACTGACAAGGCATCAAACATTTTGTAAAAGATGGTATGTTATGGCAATTGTTCTTGTATTTTGGAGACAAGTAACATTTTCTTTTGGGGATCATACTTTTGCTCTGCTCTTGTCTAGGGAGGCAGCAGTTGCACAGCCTCAGAACAAAGTCTAATAGTGGCTATTGATTCCAGACTCATCCCATTGACTTCCAGTGGCAGATACATATGTGCTGCACACATTTTCTTCCAAAGATCTATGCTATAATGACAGCCATACTGTATAAAATATATAGTATCTCCACTGGTCTTGCTGGTGTGGGAGTAGCACTACTGCGCATCTGTGGCCGAAGTGGCCGTCATCTTGAAGACCTTGATCTCGTCCCATTGCTTCATTAATGTGTGTTTTGTGTTTTCAGATCTCAGAAGCGACAACAGTGGCACGTACAGCGACCAGTCACTACCCCACTGGAGTTGGAGTAGGTGGGTATAAAAGTGTACTCAGCATTTGGACTGAGTTTTTCTCCTTCCCAGCTCGTCTCACTGTGAAGGATGTTCCTCTGACAGGCATAAGTCAGCAGGCTTTGAAGACTGAAGACAAAGAACGAGAAGGAGATTATGGAGCAGGGCAGGAATAACAGAGAGGCACAAAGTAAAGAGGCCGTCTGTTGAACTAAGACAGATGTCGAGGACTGATGAGGCTCTGAGGAGCTCTCATAGTGCAGTATAGGGAGATGCAAGCACAGATCTTTCACAGTGAATTTTTATGATGAAACTAAGCGTGGATTCACTCTTTGATTTATTCCATGTGTGAATGCAGTGGTCCCAGCTCATATTAGGAACATGACAATGCTTAAAACGTCTCTTAAGTCTATCTTTGGCTACTTGGCAATCAAAGCTGTCTCTGTGTTATTCCATGTTTGAATGTCCAGTTGACCAGTCTTGTGCAATCCTCTTAAGTTCTAAAGTTGCAAAACAACTTTGTAAATGTAGCATATGTAGCTTTTAATAATGCATAGGTTTGGGCTATAACATCAACTTGACATTGGACTATAGATGGAAATTAGTTGTTGGCCAAATCTGGTATGTATGCACTAGGGGCGATACTTTCTCCCGCGATTCGATTATTGATATGCATTTGCGAAGTATCTATATCGATTTTGAAAAAAACAAAACAAAAAAAGTTATTTTATTTTATTTTTTTTTACTTTATTTTTTTTTTGAATTGGTATCAATACTTAATATATGGCTACATTACGCATCTCCATTATATTTATCATGAAATAAAGAGTATTTTTTCTTTTATTTATGCCATAAATTGGCATATTGTATATTTCTGACCAATATCAATAATCGTCATATCGTGATAAAATCGTTATCGTGATATTATCGTTATCGTGAGCTTTGTATCGTGTATCGTATCGTATCGTGAGGTACCCTTAGGTTCCCACCCCTAGTATGCACTGTCAGCATTTAAATACAGTACACAAGCAAATTAAATCCAATTAGAAATTTGGATTTGGATTAACTCTCGATGTCACCACCACAAACACAACCATGTGATTGTAAACATAATTTTACCGGAGCAAACAAGTTCTTCAGGAAAATACTTTTGTGATGCTGTTGTGGTACAATTACTCATTACATTTTATATGATATTACAGGAGCTTAAAGACAGAGGGGGCAGAGTTACATGATTGCACCAGAAGATCCTGATAGATAGATGGATAGATACTTCATTGATCCCCGTAGGAGATGCAGGTGTCCAGCAGCAGCAGATATTGGCATGGATGGCTCTAAAAACAACTCCTGATCTGTTTTTGATGAAGAAGTAGATTTGTCTCCTGTAATTACATTCACACCAAGTGGATTACTGATGAAAATGAAATCTGACTTTTTACAGAAGTTCTGGTAAAATAATCAGAAAACATGAATAGTCAGCACAAGTACGGTAATAATATAAATGTGTGGAGTGGGCAAAAATAAATGTAACTCATCAGAATATGAACCACTGGGGACTCCCAACAGGTGTCAATTCACACCTGTTCAAGGAAGCTACTCAGCTGCCTGTAAATAACTGTATTTTAAGCAATCCTTTTGGAGAAGTCTCAAATCTCAAACTTCTCTCATTATCACAGCTTATGTTGACGAAACTGGCTATAACTTATATGTTAAATGTACGGAGAAACACATCAGAAGGGCAAGAGTCAAATGATGAATTGTAAAAATGGATTGGTCAGAATCCGTGGGAGGAAAAGATCAGAAACAGAAGAATACAATCAACATTAGAGATTATAAGGTTTATATGGATTCTAAAGATGTGATGGGGGCAAGTGAGTCTCTTTAAGTGGCTGTAGTCTTACTGGATTACAATTACAATTGCAATCCAATTCCTGCACACCAATTTCAAATGCAAACCACCCGCAGGGGTTTAGCTAGAAACAGCACAAACAAAAGTGTAATACAGAGTTAATTGAGTTAATTGTGTGGTGCTATTTGATTTGGTTTGAGAATGTTTTGTATTAAAAAAGGTAGAGCTAAAACTAGCAAAATTTCACCTAAGAAACTGGCAATCCAAAGTAGAGACTTCAACTCATAACTTTTGTTCAAAGTTAATCTATATTCTGGGGACACATACAAAAGATAGAAAATATTACGTGCATACAGCTCCTTTAGGAAAGTCAATATTGATATGG